CCCCATTATTCCTTCCCTATTTCTCTCCCTCTTCTTCCTTCTCTTCTTGAGTCTCTCCACTCTATGTTATACCCTTTCAGTTGCTTCTCTATTCCAGTTTTTGCCCCTTGCCACTTCACCCAGGTTTTGGTTAGCCCTATTATATCAAATTCCCTAACATATTGCCAGTCGTCTTCCTCCATGCTCCTAATCCCCGCCACGTTCCAGAATAGTATCTTTATTGCCTTTCTTCCCTCTCTCTCCCTTCCCTCCTCTCTTTCTCTCTTTTTTCCCTATTTTTTTCGAAACCCTTCCGCCCTTTTTCCTACCATTTTTCCCTCTTCTTCGCTCCACCACCATTCTTTTTCTTCTGACTTCAACGCGTTATGCCATATCTTCACCTCTTTACCTTTACTTTTTATTTCTCTCGCTTTTCTTCTTACTTCCTCTCTTATCTTCCTCTGCTTTCACATCCAGTCCTGATCTATAAAGATCTTTTTCTGCCCCAGCTTCTTTTTCCTCTTCATATTTTCTTCTTTTTGTTCCCATGAAGCGCATCTAATTTGCCACATCTTTTTTCCTTTTTCTCTCCGATCATCCCTCCCCGCTGTCCCTCCTATTCTTCTCAGATTCACTATCTCCCCTTTCAATTCTAGTTCCCTTCTTAACCAGTCCTCTGCCTCACTCTTCTTTTCCCATCTTAACCCACTCTCTAAGTCTGTCACTATTATATTGTTTATCCTACTTTCTCTATCCATTTTTTCTCTCATATACTCTATTTCTTCCTTATTACCTACTTCTGTTCCACTTTGCTTCTCATTTCCTCCTTCTATACTTTCTTTTAATTTCACGCACGCTTCTTCCAACTAGTTCATACTCTCTCCCGATTTTTCCTGCAGTTTCTTTTCTCTAAGTTCTGCTTTTTCCCTTTCTTCTTTCGTCTCTCTCCTTCTATCTTCTCTCTCTCTCTCTTGTTCTCTCCTAACTTTTCCTATTTCTTTCTCCCATCTTTCTTCTCTTCTTTTCCCCTCTGTCTTCATTCATTCCATTTTTTCCATCATTTCTTTAAACATTTCTGTCCATTCTCTCCTTCCTTCCTCCCATATCTCTCTTAAATTCGTTATATCTATCCCTATCTTCTCCATTATATTTTCTGCACCACTACTTTTTCCCACTTCTCTTATCGTGTTGTCCAATTTTTCTCCCCCCTCCCCTTCCATCTCGCTCCCCTCACTTTCACTCTTGCATCTTTTTGCCTCTCTCATTTCTACATGACCTTACGCGGGGGAGGGGGGGGGGGGGGGGTTAACCGCACCCCACACAATAACTTATCTGAGCGTAAAATTGCTTGCTCTTTTTCGAATCCAGGATCAAAATTATAGGTTCCTATTCACAAAATGACTTTGACTTTCAAATGACCTTGAAAATAAATCTCAAGGTTAAATCCGATTTCTGGGAAAGGTGTTCCTCATTATCCCAAACAACTTTTGTCTGAACAATTTTTTTGTAGAATTTCGTAGAAAATTTCGGGGTGGTTCCTTTATAATGGATAGTGATATTATCCATTATATGTGTATCCACAGATCCCTGTATAGTGTAATCTTTTCGGGTAGGTCGAGATATTTTCGACCCGATATATTCGTGCAAGGGAGAAAATACGCGTATACAATTGATCGAGTGTCCGTCGATCAGCCGACAGCCTTGTCGTACCGCCTTGGGAATCCCTCAAGCAATTATGCAAAGAAAAGGTAATCTTATAATATTTATATACCAATTCGGGCTGAGTAATTCAGGATAAATGTGAAATAGTTGATATAGCTCGGGCTTTCCTTTAAGTATAATAAGAAGCTTATGATTACCTGTGGTGTTGTCACTGAACTATTTTATTTAAAAATATAACAAACTTATAACAAGAATAAATAAAACAAATATAATTACTATAATTATCAAAGTAAATAAATAGTAGATTAATTCATAATCGTCACCTATTAGTCAAGTACAGAAATAAGTAATTCACGATTACTATGAAATTCCTTTACTCTTATTGTTTAGAGAGCAAGCGCACGAATTTTAAAAGCAAGATTTAGTTGTGAAGACGGTAATTAATAAAAATGAAATATCAAAAATCGAAATTTTGATTATTATCTGACTCCCAAAAAGTTGAAGAGCTTGTGAAGATTTCGAGATAAATTTATGTTATCAAAATGCAGTATATTAAGAACGTAAAAGTATAAGCAATCGAGTATTATTTGTCTTGAAACGCATTAACGGTTCTTATGAGATTTAGTATATTAAAGAAATAACACAATTACAGCCATGTAATTAAGAATTTTATTTTGAGAAAGGTACCTTTCTTTTTCATGTAATCTTTAATGAAATATTTGACATAGTATTCTGATCAACAGAAGGGTAGAGTATAAAATGACAAGAAATTAACAGTGATCATGAAGCGAATCAATTTTGTGAAAAAAATAGAGATTTATTGGGTATCTCATACTTTAGAATAATTGTGAGGTATGTGCTACCACCTTAATAAAAAATTGAAAGCATTTTCTTGAGTATTTTTTTCATGAAGAATTAAATGACATAAATTAATGTTGAGTAAAATTAAATCTTAATCTTTAAAATTTTAAAATTATCATTAGTGTTAAAGAATATCATATCATCTATATAATTCGGAAAATTTTTCATCAACAAAATTAAAACAGTAACGTCAAAACAATGTTATATTGAGATTAAATTCTAAATTAAATGAAAAGCCTTGAAGAAAGCAGTTTTGTGGCCGATTGACATTTGGTAGCTTCGTAACGGTTTTGAGGGCTAATCTAGGAATGGTTTCTATTTTCGATGCTTATATCTTCGAAATACTTATGAACCTGATTTGATATCATTAACCTGTTGAACGGGGAAATCCCTTTCTAATTACGCAACATATAAAGGGCGCGTCTTTTTCCACTAAGACGTGTATGAATGACGTATTACCATAGTAGTAGTAAAATATATGTCCCGCCTGTTCCAGGGCGCAATATAAATATCGAGGACGTATTCATATGTCCTACCCGTACCCGATATTGTTTACTTTTGACGTATTTATACGTCCCGCTCGGTTAACAGGTTAATGTATTATCATCCCTTAACAGTGACTTGCTATAAACGCACGTTTGTGTATGATTTGTATGGCAGACAGTTTTTTTAAATCGCGTTACAGAAAGAAATTTATCCCAATGGATATTTTTCTTATGAGATCCTTTTTCTATACGTTTCCTATTGCTCTTATATAGGCAGACTTTTGCATATATACGAGAGGTTGATATACGAGGGGGGTCAATAAGTCTTAACAAAAAGAAGGAAAAAAAAGTTTCGAGTATGTAATTTTTTTTATTTTTCAACATAATCTCCTTGAAGGTCGATACATTTTATTAAACGGCCTTCCACTTTTTTGAAGACATCAGAAAAATATGATTTCTGAAAACCCTCAAAATAGGCATTTGTTTCAGCGATGACTTCTTCATTCGACGTGAATCGTTGTCCGGCAAGCCATTTTTTAAGGTTAGAAAATAAGAAAAAGTCACTGGGAGCCAAATTAGGCGAATATAGTGGATGGACAATTAATTCGAACTTTAAATGGTTAATTTTTGCCATATAAACTGCACACCTGTGAACTCGAGCATTGTCTTGAAGAAAGAGGCTTTTTTTTGTTCAAGTGAGGACGTTTTTCTCTGATTTTTTCTTTCAGCTAACCTAATAATGACACATAATATTGTCTAGTGATCGTCTGGCCCTTTTCCAAGTAGTCGATGTAGATAATTCCATACGCATCCCAGAAAACCGTGGCCATAATCTTGCCAGCTGACTTTACTGTCTTTGCCTTCTTTGAGGCTGATTCTCCTGCGGTAATCCATTGTTTGGACTGTTCTTTGGTTTCTGGAGCGTAGTAGTATACCTATGTTTCATCTACAGTTACGAGTCGATGCCAAAAGTCTTCCGGATTACGACGTATGTGTGCCAAAAGAGCCTCAAGAGGACCACGCGAATTCGTTTGTTTTCAACAGTGAGCAAACGCGGCACCCATCTTGCTGATATTTTTTTATCCCATTTTTCATGCAAAATTGAAATGATAGTATCCTTTGATACCCCTGTGGCCTCAACTAATTTTCGCAATTTTAATCTTCTATCACTCAACACCATATCGTGGATTTTGTTGACCATTTCGGGCTTACTCACTTCTACGGGGCGTCCTGAACGAGGTTCATCTTTTGTTGTTGTACGGCCACGTTTTTAATTCATTTACCCAGTTATAAATAGTCTTAAATACAGGGGCAGACTTGCCATGAAAGGCGTTCAACTCAACTGTGATTTCTTATGGTGTAAAGCCTTTTAAATGAAAATGTTTTATCACAGCTCGAAACTCCGTTTTTTTCCATTTTTCAAATAAACCAATAACTTTTTGTTCAACCAACGTTCACACAAAAACGACTTAATTAATTGAGCTGAAACTTTGTACGATATCTAGTGTAGTATTGCTTGCCAAAAATATCATAATTTAAGCGTGACGAGCACCATCTCCTGGATTTTGTAAAGATTTATTGATCCCCGCACGTACAATAACATCAAAAAAATTATTGATTTTCAGTATAATTTTATATTTGCAGTATATCCTTTTCATCATTTTATTTTACAAATCCAAGAAAGTTTCAATTTAAATGTGAAATATAGTATAGAAAAATTTATTCTAAGAGAAGATTAGAGAATTAAGACAAAGCAGTACACATTGAGATTTTTTCGTTTTCTAATATAAAAATTAATAAATATATAGGTTTATATAGGTCATCATTGATCCTCTCCAAATGATAAGATTTCGAGAGAGATGAAATCAGACTCATACCAAACCATACATACTCGTATTTATTAATAAATTCTCAAAAGGAGAACATATACTATAATTATTCTATTGTTATTACATAATTTCTATATAGCATACACTTTCATCTTCATTTAATAATTTATTCTAAATATTTCAGATGAAATTCGACCATTACATGCACATCAACCATCTATAGAACCTTACACGAGTATTTCTAGCTTTAAAGATGGGTCACATAGAAAGCCTTCATAAAAGCTCTAATCTTTTCGGAACAGCAGAAATAATGTAAAAACCAATAATTATAATAAAACAATAATGAAGAAAATAATTTATTAAGTATATATATATATATATAGTATTTTTACAACCTTGTATATTAGTACTGAGGTTGCATAATAAAACAAATAAATTTTATTAAAATAATATTTTGTTGATTTCTTAACTTACCAGTGGTACCTACTGTATTTCTTTTTTTATTCTTTTTATATTCAGTTTATTGCTTATTCCATAATAATAGGCTACTGCCTCCCCAATCGACAACCAGTCACTCGTTTTTTCCTATTACTATTGCTTATAAATAGGTCAAATAGAGAGGCCATAAATTAGGGGTGCCTCAGACCAGTACGGGCCTCAGATCAGTGATCTAAAGTGCATAAGCTATCAGATCAGCACTCTTAGACCCCCCACCTCGCCTAATGTGAAATACGTTTTAAATATTAAAATTTATTTATGTGTAATTAAATTTAATTTATTTATACGCGGCGATTATGAAACATTAAATGAAACTTATATTACTGGATTCGTCTTGAAAAATTATTTAAGATAAAATTATCTAAAAGTGTTGTTGGTAATTAGGAAATGAGATAATCAACTTTAAAGAGTAGCCAATTAGTGGTCAGCTTCAGAATGTAGAACGCAGCTTAGAACGAGTGCGGAGCGACGTGAGAGCCGACATGCGCGCGCTGCAGTTAACTGAAAACGGTACTCAACTACATTTATGCGCGTAATAAATTTTTCTTGGTAACAGCAATTTAAAGTAATTGAACAATTACTTGAATTTACTTAAATTACACAGGCCTGCAAAATAGAGAGTCGTCACTGTTCTTTTACAACTTACGGTCATTTCCGAAGTAATTTTTGGCGTTGAATTAGAATCCGTCGTCAGAATTGCTTCATCACGTCAGGTTTTTGAGTAATCGTTCCCTAAAGGTCGAAAAAACACGTATTTTGGCCATATTCAAGGCTTGATTACATCGTGAGTTTATATTCTTTTCAAAAACGGTTGACGGCATCTTGAAGAAGCACTCTTACCCTTATAACGAGCGGCCAGACCCTCGTTATGTCTCTCTCTCCCCATACATAATTATAATTATTCTTATATATATATAATTGTTTTATAATTATCCCACATGTATGGCAGCCAAAGGTAAGTCAGAGAGAGCGCTAATAGAGGGCGGGCTAGAGAGAGAGAATTCGGGAGGCCGGCGCGACGCGTGCGAGTAGGAGAGTAGGGCAGAGGCGCGCGATAAGGACTCGCTCTTGTACCGGCGACTTCGAAGCATGTGGACGTGTGACAAGCGGCTATACTCGTGCTTGCGATCTTTTGTTATCCGACTTTTCGCGATTAACTTTTGTGACTGACATTTCGGTTGCCTGCGAATACGCGAGTGTTCACTCGGTGTAAAGTATCGGCGCCGCGATTGCCCTTAGTGCCTTTGGTGGGCTAGTTCCTGCGACCGCGCGTGCGAGTCTTTAAGGCCGCCCGCTTCTTGACTGCACCCGAGCTGCACACTGCGCGTCATCGCGAGCCACGTGCGAGGCTGAGGACATCGCCTGCAGGGCTAACGCCGAGATATTATTGTAAGTACCTTCTCGAATGCATGTCTCTCTCGCTAGCTTTCGCCACTCTCTTTCCCGCTTACGCTGCGTATTAATTTTGTATTACTTTCCGTAGTAAACTCGATGTTATTCGTATATCTGCTTTCTTCTTTTGAGCTTCCCTTTTACCTATCGTAAACAATCCCGTTCCGTCCGGCTTTCGCGCCTGAATTTCGTGATTGCTCCAAAGCGCCCATAGGACTACACGACGCTCTCCGCGGGCCAAGGTAACAGACGCTGCACCACGACGTTCCTGTTGCTGCTGGGCTAGGCTTTGCGCAGCCCATTAGGAGGCCCCCCATCGAGCTGTTTTAATCCCCTCGTAATTTATATAACGAGTGACCCGCGCTGGGTCAAAACCCCGTTATACCCGTCAAAACCCATTTTTCAAATTTAAGATATCATTTTTTTTCATCAAGATATCATCAATTGAAGTTTGCCATTTTTGAGGTTTCACCATGAGCTTAAAAGTTCGGCCAATTTTCCTGGAAGAATACGATATATTTCTTAGTTTTTTTTTTTATAATGATTCTAGAATCATTATCCCAAAAATACTAAGAAATATATCGTATTCTTCCAGGATAATTGGCCGAACTTTTAAGCTCATGGTGAAACCTCAAAAATGGCAAACTTCAATTGATGATATCTTGATGAAAAAAAATGATATCTTAAATTTGAAAAATGGGTTTTGAAGGGTAAGAGTGCTTCTTTAAGATGCCGTCAACCGTTTTTGAAAAGAATATAAACTCACGATGTAATCAAGCCTTGAATATGGCCAAAAAACGTGTTTTTTCGACCTTTAGGGGACGATTACTCAAAAACCTGACGTGATGGAGAAATTCTGATGACGGATTCGAATTCTACGCCAAAAATTACTTCGGAAATGACCCTCAGTTGCAAAAGAACAAAACCTTGCAGGCCTGTGTTATTTTATTCGACATCAAGTGACGAATTAAGATGATAAATTTAAGTGAGTCGAAATATCCTCCATTAAGATAGTGAAAAAGACACCCGAAATGAATCTTGAAACTAAGTTTTCAGTAGCATTCTACATCGAAAAAAATTAGGTTTTCCGCCAACCAGATCTTCCTAGAACCTCTCTATGTATATATATGTCGTATATACAAAAAGCGGATATTTTCACATTTTATTTTTTTTCTTCGGATCTAAAAATGATATCGACACCGGGTTTCGGCATTCATATTCTCGAAAATGTAGTTTCACTGTGATTTTTTTTAAGATTACAGACTTATGGGACCTAACCTAAAAAAAAGTTTTTTAATTCAAATTCCTCTAAAATTCAGCCATATTAAGGTACAGGCACAACATTTTCAGAAGATATTCAAAATTATCTAAGAAATCTCCTTAAATTTGTTCGAAGTCGGTTCCAGTGGTGCGCCACATTCAAAAATGCAAAAAACTCCGTTTTATAGTGGTTTTTGGCCCTTGGCCCTCTACCAACGGCAGATTTGGTAAAACTAATGTCACCACCGTATCTACGGGAAAAAATACATCGAAAACATGTATTATATAATCTCTCTACTATTTTCTACTCTGCGGCAAACAAAAGAATAACAATGGCGGCTACATCAGGCATGCCAATATGGCCTCCCGCCTTTCATGACTCATACCTTTAAATCTAATTATCAAAGACTTTATCGATCCTTACATATATTCTTTTGTGTTTTTTCCCGTACAATACGATGGCGATGTTCGTTTTACCGGTATTGAGTTTCGTGAACAGCTAACGGACGAAAACCGGGTATAAATCATGTTTTTAGTCGTTTATCAGCGGCTTTTCGCTGTTAGCGCTTCACAAAAGTCAACTTTGGTAAAAATGACGTCATCATTATAATATATGGAATAAAAGACATTGAAAATACGTGTAACTCCATTTATAGATCTATTACGACCATCTAAAAAATCCAATGACGCAAAACCGCACTGCTGTAGAACCACGAAAAACCCAATCTTCTTCTCGTCGATTCCCTCATTGCTTCTCAAAAACCCTCTCACCTCATGCTACATGTATGTTTTTCATATATTCTTTCTAGAATACGATGCATCGTATCGTCAGCATTTACGTATCTATAATTAAAAATTAGGTAAAAGTGAAAAAAAACATACATTATACAAATGTTTATAGATACACTAGTGCCATGAAACGAAACAATATAGTCTTGATTTTAATAGTTGTACCGTGTGGTATAGGAATAAGTATTCATGAATACGGGAAACATTTTTTTACTATTTATAAGTATAGCACTACATGATGTCTTTATAGGTTAACCTTAACCGTATAGAAAGAGAGTTTGGAGAATGATTATGACACATTGAAAATGACACGAATTCTGACATGTAAAAAAAATATTTTAAGCTTTAATATACTTAAAATTTTAAAGTAAGCATTATCGTAATAATTAATTGCACTGAATATAATATAAAAAACACTTAACACTTTTTTGTACACGCAGTCTTTTAATAACATGATATAAATCTTGTCATAATTCATGTCATTTATACTATCTGACGTCTTCCATCTGTGAAAATGATTTTGAGTTTTTCATGTTATTACAATTATGTTATTATAATGTTTTTAACATTCCTAGGCTTTTTTAGCCAATAATAATCAACCATCTCTACACTTGTCATATGTCAGAATCTATGTCTTCTTCAGTGTGTCAGAATCGTTGTGTAGAGACCCTAAGCTCCCGGACTCTCCGAGAGCCGCAGTGGTGTCAATAAAGTAAGTACAGATATAGACAGACAGACAGGCATAATTTAACCTTACGTGTGATCATCTCTGATTACTCTATATAGTTTTCTACGACAGTAAATTCTAAAATCTCTTGATTACAACTCAGAGGTATATACGGATTAAGATACTTGTTTTGATCAGTAGTAAGTTCTCAACTCGTTTATACCCTGTAATCAGTACTAAAGTAATTAACAGTGAACGATCGGGAACTGGAATGTTTTTGAGTTTCAATTATAAGAGTATAACTATTTGGCAGTTACATTTTCCATTGAAACTGAAGTGGATTAATTGAATTATAAATGAAAAGGTTTGACAGATTTCAAAATTAAGTTTTACTGGAATATTTCAGATCAACATCTCATTTTGTTCTTTGTAAAGAAGTTTGAAAATATTGAGACTAATTGAAAAATAAATAGCTTGTAGAAATGTACTTAAAAATTAAATATTATTTTTGGCTTCTTGATTCCTATCTGTCTCATTTTTTAAAAAATGCTTCACCGCTCTTGGATTTTCTAAAATGAAAAATATTATCTTGTTCTTGCTATCAGATTATTCAGATTTAAACAAAGATTTCTGTTATTTAAAAACTTGGCTTTTCCACTCATAAATAATATAACAATATGAAAATAAGAATCAATCAATTTCCTAACTCGCTTAATAAAAACGAATTGTTTCCTTCATTTTTGTGTAAACCTTCATTTCATGTTTATAATACGAGGTCTGTCCGGAAAGTATCGGGCCTACCTTTATATTTTCGTGC